GGTGTCAATAGCATTCAGAGACCAGTTGATCAAATCCATAATTCTCTTTTAGGTTTTAGAGAACGACAGTGAGAGACTGTTCCAGGGAAAAAGTAATGCACAGACAAGGACACAGAGGCTAAGCAGGGAAGATAAGGGTAAGGAGGAGAGGAGAAAAGTGCGACCGCCTTCGCTGAGAGCCAAACGAGAAGAGCCTCATATTGCTGGCAGTAGAAACTTAATGCAACACGAGAGGTTCTACAGTTAGCAATAAAAAATGGGGACTGACTTGACATCAGTATGCAAGATTGCACCTCCACCTTGACGTGACAGAAGGGTGGATGTATGTATGTTTCTTTTTACAGGCTCAGAAAGGTGACAGCAACAGGTTGCATGAGCTTTGGGCCGTGCTGACTTAACCTTTTAAATGCCACTTTCTGTGTCTTTGTGAATTTACCAGCAGTGTGTTATTCATGACCTTGTATTGCTTGAAATGCAGAGGTCACTGTGAGAAAGTGTGCATACAGAGGCGCTGCACTAACATTAATTACTAATTTAATGGAAAACTTCCACAACACATCCCAGTTGTTTCCTGGAGGAACTGTTGAAAGATTTTGGATCATCAGCAATAACATCTGCACACGACACTTCCTAAAGTGTTTCTTCAGCTGATCACAGCTGCTGATTATTGACATGACATTATAAATGATTAATATGGTTTAATGTGTTTCTTCATTGTGATTCAGTGTAAAAAGAAGATATATAAAAAAAAAGTAACTGAAGCCAAAATTACATTTTGTTGCATCATAAAATGGGACAGGTGAATACAATACAACTGGCATAATTACATGTAATTAAAGTCATGTTAATCTTTTTTAAGCTTTGAAAATATGAAAATAATTCATAAAAGCATTATTTTAAAAACTTATGTAATATAAAAACATACAATTTGGTGAAAAGGAAAAACACCACCAGGCACTCCAAGAAGACTGGGCAATATTAACTGATGTTCAGTACATACGCAAAATAACAATCAAAAACTATTCCCCAACCCAACAGTACATAGACATAACTCTTTATTCCACCAGTGACACCCAGCATACAAGCTTCGAGCTGGGAGGATACCAGCATACCCACCCACCTCACCAGGGGTAATTTCACAGAATAATTTCCCATCAGAAAGGTGACACTCTGTCCCTAAATACATTCAAGCAGCCGGTGATCAGACCACCAAGGACTCCACCTTTTTTACCAATTGTGACTTCTTGAAGCGTTCACCAACCCAACAGCACTGTCTAAATGCACGTGGCTGGTTGGATCAACCACTGTGTCAAACACCATCACTGACAAATGGTGGTATGCATGATATTCCCCCTTTCTCATACCCTAAATTGTAATTTCAATTCCTGTCACTGACTTCTCATACCTTATTACCTCCCAATAATTACAGAATAAAGAATAGAATAGAAGAAAAAGTAGAATATTAGCAAAAATAGAATGATTTTAAATAGTCAACACCCAACGCCCCAACCAGACATGCTAATGGAGGAGAGAATTTGAGAATGGAAGAGTTGAGGCAACAAGTATTCAACCTAATGAGACGTCTTTGTATTGGAGCAGTCATTTTAAATAATATGTTGTTTCATACAACAACATCATAACTCGTTATGTTATAACCTAACTACAGCTGTAGCTGGTTACACAGTGTGTCTTCTGTCCTGTCTTCATCCCCACCCAGTCATGGCAGATGGCTCCGCCCCTTCCTGAGCCTGGTTTCTTTCTGTTAAAAAGGAGTTTTCCTCCCCACTGTCACCAAGTGTTTAATCATGGGGTGCAGTGATCTGGTTCTTGGAGTTTTCTCTGTATGCATTATTGTGGGGTCTTTACCTTACAATATGAAGCACCTTGAGGTAACTGTTGTTGTGACTTGACGTTGTATAAATCAAATTTAATGGAATTAAATTTGTATTTTTAAATTCAGAAGTAATGGTGCCCATAACACATTTTTATTATTAAGGATATATATTTTTTTTTTTAAATAAAGAGAGATTATGAAGCGTAATAATTATTGTAAATGATGTGTGACAGGGTTGTAACAGCTTGGTAAACAGACCTACGGTGATCATGACGCACTGCACTTGTTTTTGTATTTCTTTTTTAATTTGCTCGTTTCTTTTTCATGCCGTTCCTGCAGTTTCTTCAGCTCGTCCTTAAGATGTTGCTCTTTGTGGCTGGACAGGTCATGTAACAGTGTGTAGTCACTTTTTTGCTTTTCGTTCTCCTTCAGGACTTTGCTGTATTCTTGCCTCATTTCCCTGATTTGCTCATCATACTTTTCTATCAAAGCTTCAAAGTCCTTCGTGTATTTCTCATTGAACTCATTGAGGTCTTCAGCTTGTTTTCTGGCTTCTCCTTCATATTTCTCTTTCATATCTTTGATTTGTTTCTCATACTTTTCTTCTAGATCTTCTCTCTCTCTTTGTTCCTGCTCTCTTCTGATTTTTTCTTCTTCTCTTGTTTTCTTTATGTATATTTCGTTCTTCTCCTCATATTCTTCTTGGACCTGTAGGAGCATTGCTTGTTCCTTCTCTCTTCTCTGCCTGTCTTCTTTGTACTGTTTGTTCCACCACTCTTGTCTCTCCATTTCCCAAGCATGCTGTTTCTTTCTCATCTCTTTTCTAGTTTGTTTCAACTTTCTGTCAGTGATTTCTTTGGATTCAGACTCAGATTTTATTTTTTCCTCCAGAGCTTCAAGTTTTTGTTCCCATTCCTGTTGTTGACTGTCCTCCAGTTGTCTCCTCTCTCTGATCACGATTTCTCTTTTTTCCATTTCTTTTTTTTGGTCTTCCAGCACTTTATTTAATTTTTCTTCCTTTTCTTTGAGTCCTTTTTCTCTCCTCTTCAGTTTCAGCTCTCTGTTCTTCAAGTCTTCTTTGCATTTCTTTCATGTGTTCCTCATGTTTCCTTTCAAGTTCTTCTCTTTCTCTCTTCATCTTATCGTCCATCTCCTTCAGGATCCTCTGCACTTCCTTCTGTATCGCTGCTTCAGCCTCTTGCAGCATCTCATTGGTGTAGCAGTTGCCTCCGTTATTCTTCACCATGGTGTCAATCTTTGTTATCAGCTCGCTGACTTGTGTACGGTTTTGTTTGTCACGGTTGTTGAAAAACATGGTATCTTCCTCCACAGTCAGAGATCAGCTTCTTGAACTCATGTACTCATCAATGGTCTGATCATCAGCTTCCAGATCGTCTCCTCTGGTTCTTCTGGTTGGTCTCCTTTGGTTAAAAGAATGATGCTGAACTTTTCTGAATTCTTGCCAAAGAATTTCTTGATCAATTTTCACAGTCTCCTTCTCCTCTGCTGTGAATCTGCACAGCACACATCTCACATTTCACCATCTCCTCATGAACTTCTTCATTTGACAGAGTTGTGTCAAAGAGACCAGGAGTGTCGACCACAACAACAGTTGTGGTCGACACTCACCCTGTACTTTCTGGCAATATTCAGTAACTGACTTCTGATTCAATTCAGCTTTAAACTCTTGTGTTTCCTGAAGAGCTCTTTCCACAGCCAGTCTTTCCTAACAGTACAATACTGAGACAGTCTGAGCTCTGCTTCTCATTGTCACCTGTACCAACAACAATTGATCTCACAGTGAATATTCCAACATTGCTAGTGAGTGAGGTCTTATTTAGGACAACAAAACTCCTAAATAAGTTTACTGTACAACATTTACGGTCATAGAAAAAAGAAAAGCCAGCCTGCACATTTAAGTTCATACACATCAGGACATAATAAAAAACCACATTACCAAACATTAAGTCTCTCTCTTCCAAGTCTCTGATAGTACATGACTTAAT